TTGGATAAACGTTTAAAAAACCATACCCATCTTTTTTTATACAAATTATGGTTTTTAACCACATACAGTTGATAATAATATAAATTTCATAATTTAGAATTTAATAATTCAAGAATGTTTTTATTAATTTACTATAAAGTTTAAATAGATATTTTAAATCTTATCGTAATACAAAAATCTTATTCAATTATTTTATACCATACAGCCTATAATTTATATCTAGAATAATTAGTAAAATTAAATACCTGTACTTCAGATTCAACATTCAGTGGTCGTAAAGGGAACCAATGATCCTTGTCATTAAATGATGTTAATTGGTCCCGTCGGACAGTTACTCTTCCTAGTGGTCTATCCCGTTCATAAACACATACACCCAGGTAACGGAAACGACGAGGTATTTCAAATTCAAATTCTTCACCCCAAAACGGACTAAAATAAAAAAAATAATATATAATAATAAGTAGGCAAGTAATCTTATAGTATATGATTAAAAAGAGACTGTGGGAATAAAATGTAATGTATTATATTTTAACTCAATTACTCTATACATGGGAATTTTAAAAAATAATTAAAATGTTCATATATCATTTTTATAACTTATGTACCTATATAATATTTGAATTTGTGAAAAATTATGTTTTAATAATGTGAAAAAATATAATTGTTTTTTTGTATATGCTATAATAACATAGGTGTTCCTAGGTTATGATTAAATTAGTTAATGAGTTAGAAATTCAGTTACGAATATTTATCTAATAAAAATAAGTATCTATGTATTTTAGAGCTATACTGCAAATCGGCAATAGCTTTTGAATTAAAATATATAAAAAAATACCTACTATACTACATTTATTATTAGATATTACAAATAACAAGATGTAGTGTTGTGCACAAAATTCAAAAATAAATGGAAATGGATAATATTATTTTAATGATAATATATTAATATACCTAAATAAAAGTATATAATACAGTTATAGGAAAAATAAAAATTTCACATATGGACTATGAAGACTTAAAAAAATAATAATGGTTATTAGTAATAACTTATTACATTATAATCACAGGGTACTTGTTCTATTTTATATTTATGGTACTAAAATTATTTTTGAGTAGTAAAACAATGCCTTAGCTATCAAATGAAAATTCTGGAGAGCAGTTGCTATCTCATGTTGATGTCTTTAAGCATACTACTATTTATTTGATTATATTTAATTCGATATAATACATTTTTTAAGTATAAAATGTTTACATAGTATTAAACAAAGTAAATAAACAATTATTTATTTCTTATTACTGTTTTAATTAATTTAAAAGAAAATACCAATAATAATAGAGATACAAGTATAAAATAATAATACTTAATTAAAATAACTACAAGTTATTAATGGTTTTTAAATAAATAAAATTAAGATAAAAATTTAAAATGATTCCAATAGTAATTATAAATAATACCATTTTGAATGAAAATATATAACCAGAAGGTTAGATAACAGAAAAAAATTTAAATTTAGTTATAACATTTATATATTTCTCACTTTATTCAAAATTTAAAATATAAACCTATAATTATTTGTTAATTGTATTGTTATAAGAATATGGCAAAAATGTTTTATCAGGAAGAATGCTTAATTTTATTTTTTAATGTTGAAAAACATTATAAATCCCATTAAGTATATACATATATATATTAAATAATAACTAATTTTATCAGTTAATATAAAATTATCAAATATAAAATTGTAATTTAAAAAGTTTAATAATGTAAGTGAGATAATACGAACTAAATTGTATAGGCTATTACAGTTTTCTCAAATGAAAATAATATTAATTATATTTAATAAGTATGATATGTAAATATAAAAAAATAAGAACTGAAAATTATAATTTATAAATATCAATTACAATAATATAATAACAGTGAAATAAATAAGGATGGTCTTTCAGCCCAAATATATCAGTATATCATCATTTATGTTAGTATATACAGTATGTATTTAATATCTCAAAATGTTTAAGATTTGACAAATAAGAAACAAGATAACTAATATAAAATAAGTTAATATTTAATAACTTTGAAATAAAAATAATATTCATTTTCTTCTAAATATCTGAACATTTCAATTGGAAACTATATTTAATATTTCTCTAGTATTGGATATTGGTTCATAATAATTAATTACAAATAAATAAATAGAAATATATAAATAAATATATTTAAAACTATTTATTAATTACTAAAAAAGAGAATTATATTTTTTTTTCATGTAAAATATATTTTATTGTTAAAGTTAATAGGTTTGCTTTCCATCTTTTATTTTTATTAAAATAAATATTTTATTATTATTTACACTGCCAGAGAAAATGTTTTTTATGTAATAACTATTATTTAAAACATTACAAAGTTTTATAAATTTAAATGTATAAACAGATAAAAAAATCAAGCTTAATAAAATAAGTAAAATTAATTATTCTACTAAGAGTTATTTGATTTTCATTGTTTATATTATATCACATAACCAGTGCAAGTAATGTATTTTATGAAAATTGACAAAATATGTATGCAAATGAAAAATTATTTAGTTTTTAGAGAAAGCTTTTAATTTTAATTTAATTTACAATCAAATTAAATCTTAATATATCATGAAATAAAAATTGTACTTAACAATATCTACCAACCACGCCAAATAAAATGTATTAAGATAAAAAAAAAAAATTAATTATTAAACAAATTTGTATTATATTGTTAAAATATTGATATTTTTTTCAATAACTAATATACCAATATATTATTTAAATAATATATAAAATGTTTGATAAAAGAATATATATTTTATAAATATATAAACAATTTTCACGTGCCAGCATAATAAGTATTACGTGATTAAAGGTTTGAAATCTGTAATAATCATTAATATTGTTAAATATAATGTTTAAGTTACATATTAAATTTAGTTAAAATAGATTTTATACAAACATTAAAATAATAATAAACTTAAAAATAATTATTGCATTATCAAGTATTATTAAATAAAAAGTGATATGTAAATATATACCTATATAAATTAATTATTTGATACTGAAGCAAATTAACACATTTAATAAAACAAATTAGTACTTATTAGCTTTTGTACAGTAAAATACAAAAGAGGAACAAGTAGAATTAGATATCAATACTAAAATGAGTTTGAACCCAGACATGGACTGTCATGGCCTAGGCAACTAGGCCGGAAAAAAGTAGCAAAGGTTGTGTAGAAGGTGACAGAAAATTAGTATTTATAAGATTCATTTTTTAGGATACAATAGCCTGATTGAATTCAACAAATATCATATTGACAAAAAAAAAATAAATAAATAAAAATAAATTTATAAAATATTATGTAAATTAAAATAATCAAACTTCATCATACTTAATACAATATGATATTAAATTTTATCTATAACTGTTTTTTTCTTAAGTTTACGATAACTCTAATATTTTTTTTTTTTTAGGTAATTGTTATTGCTATTTGACTTTATTGAAATATTTTTAAAAGGGACAAATACTAAATGAAATTAAAATGAAATATGGGTGCATTTTGAAATAGATAATTCATCAATAAAATGAGAATATTATTTTTGGTACATTTATGGAGTATACTAGGATAAAAATAGATAAATAATAATAAATAAGTAGGTATACTACTTTAATTGAAGATAACAAGTTTAATTGATAATTTACACATTACAAGAAAATAATAGTTAAAAAAAAAAGTTGAAAATTTTCAAAAAATAAATTCAATATTAAGATTGAAATATCATCTAATAATTATTGACAAGTAAAAGTAGACTACTTATATAAAAAACCATTATGAATCCAATAAAATCCTATGCGACCCAGTGTACCAGCGGTTTCTATTACAAGGGCATGTCGACCGTAAAAATAATTAGTAGAGCACAAATTGATAAACTGACGGAATAAGAATGAAATAATATGCACTCACTCGATTGCTTTTTCAATAGTGGCTGTGCGAAATATTTCTTCCTGGTCAAGTGTGATCGTGCAATGTCCGTCTCTGAGCGTCGAGTGCCCCTTGCCCAAATTCTTCGCATCACCTACGCACAAATAACATTATCATTAGAATTTCGATGATCACCACAGTACGCCATTCATGGTTTTTCACGATCAGTAGGAACTACAGGGTTAACAGGTATCCATTCGTGCGCCGTGTATGTGCGCGCGGGGCCCACAGACGCCCCCGTCGACACGGACCAGCAACAGTAAAAGAGCGGAAAGATGGCCACAAATGTTGGCGCAGAAAGAAAAAGAAAACCACTTACCGATTTTGATCTTCAGCCTCTCCACAACTCTGAAGTTCGGTTTACCCTCTGCCATCGTCATTTCGCGCAAACCCGGTGCACGTCCGCCGCCAATTCATCAACGACGTTTCATTCAAAAAAGTAATTGATTCATGGTTTGTGTGTCCTTCCTTCCGAAAAGCGTTCCCATTCATGCGAAATGCTCGGGGGACGGGACGGGTGAGCGCGCGCGTGAACGAAGGATGCAACGAGGGTGCGACAGAGATGGCATTAGTGCACGGATGGGACGCGGTATGCGGGGTTTCCCGTCGGGCGGAAACGTATGTCGGTCAGGTGTTCCCAAACGGTCCGCGTTTCCGGCCAATCTGCCTAAACTGCAGCCCGCTAGCCAGAACGACTTGTGTACGTCCCCGCGTCTAGCAGCTAGATTTTCGCGTTCACGCGGTCTTTGAAATATCGGCTTCTCGGCGCACAAGTAATTTACCTTGCAGAAGTGCAAAAAGTGACTGCCGAGACGGATCAACTTGAATATGAATAATATTAATATTATTATTATTATTAATATTACTGAAAACCTAATGATAAATATTGTTTTTCGGTGGTGAAGTTCGGTGTGATATGATCAACGCTATGAACGTACAGACGGTCGTGCGGCCGTATTGATTAAAAGTGTCCTTAGGTGCTCATTATTATTATTATTATTATTATTATTACTATCATCGTACATACGCGCACGCGTGAGCATTGCCATACAGCGCGCTAGAATACTTAGTATTCTCGAAAACGCACGCACACGCTTTCACATTTTTAATTTTTATTTGTTTTTCAAACCATAAGAAAAATGCCGCTGGCCGATTTGTTGTCAACTTTGGGAGACAATCCGTATTTCGGCGCAGGTTTCGGATTGTTCGGACTCGGTTTGGGGGCGGCTGTGTTGCGCAAAGGCGCGTCCGCCGGTCTGGTGTTGTTCCGTCGCAATTTCATGATGACTCTGGAAGTGCCGTGCCGCGACAAGAGTTATCAATGGGTGCTGTTGTGGGTCACCCAAAAAGCGGCCCGGCGCACTCAACACCTGAGCGTGGAAACTACGTTTGAACAAATGGACACGGGACGCGTGAACACAACGTATCATTTTTTGCCAAGCATTGGCGTCCATTTGATTAAGTAATAATGATTTTTGTGTCAGAGTGTGTAATTTTATATTTTCAAATATTCAAGTACCGAAATATGTTCTATACTTTAAAATCATCGTGATAACTCTCATCGTTGTAACTGCAATGTACAAATAGAAACAAGAATTAGTGACGAACAGTTTTTTGAATAGTTCAAATACAACAACAATTTTAATTTTTAACTAAGCTTTTTTGAAATATTACACCTCAAGTTTCATTGAATTTTTGAGAAAACTTGTTTTCAAATTATGAATTTAGGTTTTATATTTAAAATGTCAGTACTTGTTCACTATAATTATCTAACTGTTTAATTGCTTTATAGAAATTATAGTTTTAAAACAAAATTATAATTATAGTAATTGATAGCATCAAGTATATAAAAAAAAATCCTGCATTCTTAATTTTATTTACCATTTACGAATGTCTATATTTTATGAATAAATGTTTATTTTATAAATTCCTATTAGACTGATGATCAATATTTATGAAATTATACTTATATTCATTAATTTATAAAAATTATTGTAAAATAATATTAATTTAATTGATATATATAAAAAAAAGTATTGCATAAAATGAAAACTGTAGTATTAGTATATAAATAAAAAATGTAATAAATTTAGTCATATAAACTAATTTAAAAATGATATTTAAGATATAAACCAAATTTTAAATGTAAAATGTATTAATCTTTTAATACTTTAGGTATCGTGAAAAATATATTCAAGTTACTCGAACCAGAGAGCAACAATCATTAGATTTACATGCTGGTGTTCCATGGGAAAATGTTGTGCTTACAGCATTTGGCACAAATAAATCATTATTTACAGATATACTTGAAGAAGGTAAAATGTAAAATATCGATTTAATTTACATGACATTAATTATTTTGCCTATTTTGTCAGGTAGCTCGTCAAATGGCTTTAAAAGCAATGGAAGGCCGCACAATAGTTTATACTGCATTGGGGTCAGAATGGCGTCCATTTGGTCATCCACAAAAACCTAGACCACTGTCATCAGTAGTATTAGATGATAATGTTTCTGAAAGAATATTGAAAGATGTACAGAAATTTATTTGTAAGCCATATTGGTATATTGAACGTGGAATACCTTATAGACGAGGATATTTGTTGCACGGTCCACCTGGCTGTGGAAAAACATCTTTCATAAAAGCTTTAGCTGGAGAATTACAGTATGGTGTATGCTTGTTAAATTTAAGTGAGCGAGGTCTAACTGATGATAGATTAAATTATTTAATGTCTGCTGCTCCACAAAGTACAATTATATTGTTAGAAGATGTAGATGCAGCTTTTGGTGGAAGACATGAATCAAAACAAGGTATAATTTGGCAAGTTTATTATGTTCACTTAACAAATATGTGTTTTGTTTGTGCAATAAAAAAGTATATATATATTTTAGTTTCTGCTGCCTATGATGGACTGAGTCGTGTAACATTAAGTGGATTATTAAATGCTCTTGATGGAGCTGCTTCATCTGAAGCAAGAATATTATTTATGACAACTAATTACATTGATAGGTATGGTAATTATAAATATATTTTAAATTATAATTTTATAATTTGTAATTTTTAGATTGGATGCTGCATTAATTAGACCTGGCAGAGTAGATGTTAAGGAGTATATTGGTCACTGTTCACAATCTCAAATTGAACGAATGTACAAAAGATTTTTCCTAGAAAACAATGACAATGAACAACAGGCAACAGAGTTTGCAGAAACTGTTATCAAAACTGGAAAACCTGTTAGTGCAGCTCAAATACAAGGGTATTTTATGTTGGTCGAAGACTGCTCACACAATGACATAGTTAAAAATCATCAAAGTATTTGGGAATCTTAATTAATGAAAATATTGTTTTCAATATTGTAATTTTTGTTATTGATGTTACTTTAACATGTATAGTTAAATAAAAAAAATGTTTTAAAATATTAGTCATGATTAATTATTATTAAGTGATAAGTATTCTTACCATTGTATCGATAGCTAAATATATATTACATTTTTTTTTTTTTACATGTGATGTATTAACTTTAAAATTGAGAAAACTAGTTTTTTTTTAAATCTTTATTGAAATTATACTCGTAAATGCTCAAAGTTTCATACTTTATCCTGTTTAATTTAGAATTAACTGATTTTTAAATTATATTATACTTTATTTTGTAATATTAATGTGTTTTAAAAATAAACCCATAATGTTTTTGCACATTTCAGTTTGGTTACAATTTTTTTCTTCATTTCCAGCTTTAAAGGCCATTGAGGCTCATTGCTGCAAAACAAATCACTTTTAATTGTAACATTGGTTACAATTTTTTTTTATTTATTGTATTAATTATAAATTTATTATTAATGTTAATTTACTTTTGTAGTAAAAATGTATTCTAATTTTAAGAAGAGTATTGAAGTTGCTTAAACTTATATAATGGCTGAAAAATTATTAATCTACTAAAATATGTCAACTTAAATATCATCACTAACACAATTAGACCAGATAATGGATTTAATTAATTAAATTTATTCTATGTTCAAATTTTTAAATAAGAAACATTTTTGACTTAAAATTAATTTTGAATCTATGATTGTGATATATTATATTGTATTTAAAACAATGCTAGAATATTTCATTAAATACTTAACAATAAAACTACTTAATGTTCATTAAAATATTTTATAAGAAACTACAATTCATTGAATTTCTAATCATATTTTTCGATTGTAAATTTCACTTGATAAATGAAAATTAGAGAATAGTACGTGAAAAACTTGTTAGTAAAATATGAAATTAACTGACTATAATAATATATAACTAGAAATCTTAATATGAAAATTAGTAAGAAAAGAATAATTAATTATTTAAATTTTTTCGTCTTATAAAGCTTGTAAAATATGTATTTAAATATTTAAGTTTTAGAGACCTGAGGTTATCTAAATTATTTAAATGTTTTTAGAATATATAGGTAAAAAAGATAAGCCCCTGTTGACCCCCCCTTACATACAAATGTTACATTCATTTATATGTTGGAATGCAATTAATATTTTATCTTAAGTATATATTATAAACTAAAAATAAACTTTTAAAAAGTAAAAAACTTAGTTTTGTATTAATTATTAAGGGATTAAAATGTTGTGTTGGAATTTTAAGGAGAATAAATGATTGAAATCAGATTCAATATTCTGTGTCTAAAAGACTGAATGAAATAATATAAAAAAGTTATAGTACTAATTTCAAAATAAATAAATTGGTGAAATCAAACTTCAAAATTCTGTTCTGAAATGTATGAAATTAAATTTTTTTAAAAAAATTTGAAACATAGAGAAATAATCAATTATAGGTAAGAGAAAAAAAATAACAGAAGTGCATTTTTAAAATATTTTTTTTTTTTTTTTTTATTGAACTTTATTGCTTTACAATCAAATGGTAGGTTAGATATCTTGAAAATTAATATTTTTATTTTTTTATTTTGTCAACAAAATTCAGATTGAAAACTCTAAAAATGTGTTGAGAAAGATAAAATGGTATAATAATGATGGGATTAGTTTTAAATAATATACTTTATTTAAATGTGTTGTATTAGGTGTGGTAAATGATAGTTGTCTATTAAACAATATTTGTTAAATTAGTTTTCTATTATGTATAAACAACATGATTAATACAATTTTTTTCATATCTCAACTGTCATAATAGGTGTTTTATAGAAGAAATTATTTTTATGATAAAGTCGACTTGCAATCAGCGGCGGATTGGCTAAAAATTTCGGCTTGAGAAATTATCATATGACCGGCCCACCATCCAATAATAATTATTTTCCATAAAAGTCTCCTTTATTCATAATTTTATAGTGTACCATATTATTGTTTATATTTCATTTGTATGTGTTTTCCAGTGCCGGTAACGGTCCAATATGCGACGTACAAATGTTACTCGACCTACCGATAAAATTGTGTTGATCTACATGTTTCGTTACCGCGGTTAATGTTGTTGTAGGCATTTTAATTCTATTTATGGGAATATTATTTATGTATTTTGGGACCGAGAAACTCTTTAACAAATTATTAAATATGAAATAAAAACTGGAACGATAGTTTATAGTGACCAATGGAGAGCGTACTCAGCATTAAATTATTATGGATATATTCATCAAACAGTTAACCATTTAGGATTTTTATTGATTCGGAAACAGGATCACATACTCAACAAATTGAAGTTTTATGGAGAATTTCAAAATCCAAATTTAATAATAAAGAGAATGGGGCGTCTCCTTTACTAGAAAGACAACTTCAAGAAGAGTGGTGAAGATTGTATCAAAATCCAAAAACTATTTTTGTTAACTTTTTGATCAATACGAAAAAGACATTTCATAACAATATGGACTGGAACAATACATTAATTGACGACACTGAGAAGTAAAATATAAAAAAAGTTAGTTAAAATTATTTGTATTTTACATTTATGACATAGGTCGCATATTGGACCATAAATCAGAGTGTAGGTCATATATTGGACTGTTACTCCAGTGCCTAATATTCCTATAATTATTTAACTGCATACTTAATTCCACATACCAAAATATTTTAAAATAATGAACCTAGTAATGTGCATGCCGCATATAAATAACTAATTATTTTTGATATTTTTCAATAATTCATTACATGAAATATTTTTTTAAGCTATCTTCTAGTCTTAGCAGTACAGTTTGGTTTATCATAATGTTATAAATCAATAGGAATTAATTTTGTTATATAATTAAAACTATCTAGAGGTTTTGTATACAGTTTTTATTAACATAATAACCATTAAGAGTTTATGACCAGAAAATTAAAATTAAAAATTATGTAATACTTATATAATTAGATTAATTTGGTTCAATAAAATCTTTGGTTCTTGTATTTCTACAAAAGGAGTAGTTTCCCTGGCTTTAGAGAAAACTTCTTGAAACCATTCTAACAAAATTATAGTGTACCATATTGTGTGAATAAGAAAAATTAAAACCAAGTTTTAACCCATTAGACGAAACCTGAAAAAACATAAAACCTGGTTTTAACCCATAAACCGAAATCTAAGGCAATTTTAAATCCGGTTTTAACTCATTAACCAAAACCCAAGAAAACATAAAACCATGTTTTAATCTGGTAACCGGAACCCGTGAAGTCAGACTGCTTTGACTCCCTGGTTATTATAACTCAGTGGCATTAGAAAAAAAAATTATTGAGTATATGAATGATCTAAATCAATAATTGTAAAATATAAACATAATGGAATTATAGGTGAGGTTTTAAAAAAATATTAAAATTTTTTGTGTACATTATTTATTTTGAAAAAGTTATGATTATCAATAAAATTGAATAATTACTCATTAAATTTTACACAAAAATGATTTTTTACAACCAAATTATGATCACTAAATTTAAAATATTATATTTACAAACGATTTATTTATAATATTTTTTTTTATGAGCTTTAAAATCCTTCACAATTTATCAACCATTTTTAATATATGTCGTTGCTCTTGTTCTTGCCACTCTTTATCACCATCCTCACCAAGATTTCCTGCATATTCTATAAAAATTAAATTAAAAATATCAGTTCATCTAATTTCATTGATGAAAATACTTTATAATATCACTATAAGTTTTTGGTCAATTGTTCTTTAAATAAATACCTCTCATTATTTGACGTATGGTTTTTAATGTGCCACCTCGCATATTTAAAATGTGAGTAACTCGTTTTTTGATGTTAGGTCCACTATTACAAACCTCCAAAATAATATAATCAATCAGTTGCAAAGAAAATAAACCACCATTTAGTCTCTTTAAATAAATTTCATCTTCATCTTCATCACCTGAATTCTAAAATATAAAGTTTATAAATATTGAAATATAGATAATTATATCTACAACTTTACTTTTTCGTCAATTTCAGCATCAATTGTTTCAACTTTTTCTATATACTTGAAATGAAGTTCCATGAGTCTATCAACTTTTTCCATATCATTTTCAGCAAATTTGGTCATGAGACGTTGTCTTTGAGTACCACGACAGTTACGCAACATATTGGCAATTATTGAAACAACATGTTCTATAATAATAAATAAAGATATATGACTTAAAGCTATATAAAATAAATAAAATTTAGTATTAACTACTTACCTTCATGTTCTTCTGTACTAAGCATTCTTTTTCTATTTTTTTTGGGAGTTTTCATGAACAGTGGAAATATAGTTCGGAGTCCTAAAATATCTACAAATTTATTACAATTGTCTTTGCCTTGTGGGCCTGATAACGCATGGTTCAATACCTTTAATGAGCCATTTCGACTTAATTTTTTTTCCCTGAAATTGATTTTGTAATTTTACAGTTAATTAACAATTTATTAAAAAATAATGGGATTGACAAAATTCCCTTAATATAAGATTCATTAGTTGAAGTCCTTCACCTCTCAGAAACCTATCTCTGTTTTCTTTATCCATTAAACATGAACATAGACAATCAAAAAGGTTCTCCATCATTTCTTGCTCGTCAGGAGAAGAAGGATCGTGTCTTTTATAATACTATAATAATAAACATGAATTGTTGTGATTTATTATTCAAAAAAACGGATCCAATAATAGATATATTTACTGCTAGTTGTTGCAACAAAATGTCAATGCCTCCAATTTCTCCAACTAAAGTTCTATTTTCTTCATTGTTTTGCAATAATATAGATAGAATTTCACTACTATAAAGTTTATTATCATCATAAGACATTTTGGCTTTAATTCTTTTCAAAAGCCATGGGATAAGTCCTTGTTTTCCAATATCTACCACAACAGCAGGTCTGAGTTCCATAATATTTTCAAATATTCCTAGAGTTGTATGTACACCATTTGCTTCTTCTTTGACAGATTCATCCATACGTTCTAGATTTTGTACAAGTAGAGCACATATTTGTTTACTGAGTAATGCTTCAACCAATATTTCTATACCTTCTTCATTCTCATCCAATGAATCAAGATCAGTTAAATCCTAAAACAAAAAAATGCATATAACAATAACATTAATAATACTATTATTAAAATATAACTTACATGTAATAAATTTACAACTGCAACTGCTATATCAGTATTTTCATGAGAAAGTAACTCTAACAGCGATAAAACAGCTTTTAAATTAACTAAAACAGGATATAAGTCTGGCACAGTTGCTATAGCATGCATTTCTGTTATAATATCATGTAGTTCGATTTCTGATTCCATAAATCTAAAATAAAAATAATAAGTATATTACATAAAAAAGATCAAATAGAAATAAAATTATGTTAATTACTTTTCAGGATTTTCAGGAAATTTTATTCGCATTTCTTGATTTCTAAGTACTTTTTTTTCAAATAATAAAATCATGCGTTTTAATGCTGCTTCATCTAAAACACCATCCTAACAAAATAATACATTTAAATAGTTAATGTAGTCTGTTAGGTTCACTTATTTAAATTATTATAGTTACATCAGAACCAGCCAGGTTTTCATCAATTAATTTTTGAACCATTTCTTGACGTTCATGTTTCCTTCTCTGTTCTTCAGCAAGTTTTTCTTGCTCTGCTTTTAATCGTTCTTGTTCTTGTTTTTCTATTTGCTGAACACGAGCTTTGGCTAATCGCCTCAGTTTTTTTTGGCGTTCATAATCTGTCTCGTTTTCTTGAATTTGATTAACTTCTTCTTCAGGTAATGGTCGCTTTGGCGTATTTGCCGGCTATAACAAAATAAAAATATAATATTCGTATTCTTAAACAATCACATGATTTTGTGAGATATATTATAAATTGTTTATTTGGTACTTTATAATCTAATAATTCTCCAATGTCCATGACACTCACTACAGAAAAAGACTAGTAAAGAATATTATGTTTTACTTAAAACTTAGTTTTAAGACTTTAAACACCAAACGTTATTTTTGTTATCTACTCATGAATTACAAATAATAGTAATAAATATTAATATGATAAGTGATGATTATGTTTCTAAATAAACGATGGTATAAGCAGTGGTTAATAGTTGACAATTTCGGTTAGAAAACTGTGGTATACGGTAACTAGTTAAAAGTATTCAGACCTGTGGCGGCGACATATGATTAATAACTTCTTGCACGAAATCATATAGACTCAGTGCCGTATTTCCCAGTAAATACTATAAGCTAGTACTTAGGACGCACCGTAGCTCCGGACGAATAAAATTATTTTGTAAATCCGTAACTCCGCATAAATCGTAATTCCGCATGGTCAAAAAAATTAACGTACCGTAGCTCCGCATTCTAAGAATATTTTTAATACTGAAAGTCCGCATGGCATAAAATTGTTTGGAATATCAAAAACACTGGAGCTCCACATTTAATCAATAAACCTATTAAGATATCACTATATCAGTGTAAAACCATGTTGAAATTAAACTATTATAAGTTTTTAGTATAAAGTTTGGCACAATTTAATAATATTTAGTTTTAATTTTCATTATAATTTTTTTATATTTATTTTATATGAACGATGATGATGTTTGTTGTAAATTGTCTTTATTATTTTAAGTGGCATAATGGTTTAATCCAGCACTGTATAGACTGGTTTGCAATGCGTGACAAACCACGACGACCGAACTTTGGGTCGCTGCGACACTACTGCTCCAGGAGCAGTACTGTGCGACAAGCATAGATATCATATAAAAGAGCAACAAGTCGACGTGACATTTCACAGTGATCGTTATAAATTTTCAACATAATTCTTCTTTGGTTTTTTTCTGCATCCGAAGACGAAATTCTTATTCAAGAGGTACAAAAGAATTGTGTTCTTTATAATATTGGTGATTCAAATTATAAAAATACAATAAAGTCATTTAATAAAATCCTTCACTTTCCCAGTATTTAAATATTTTTGTATAGGTTTTCTAGTTTTTGGTTATGAAGTAGAATCTATAATTTGATCTTCTTCTTCTTCTAATAAATGTTAGAAAAATGTTATTATTATTATAAATATAACTATTCATTGTAAAATTAAATTTAAAAGACGTACTAACCTAACCGTACCTTAAAAGAATTTATATATCTATGATACTGATTATGAATTAAGAAATACTGGATACCCAAGGAGCATATATTAACAATTACGTTAGAGGAACTCAAAGTACGAGAGGATTGTGGGAGCAACTTTTCCTGTAATAATAAAATTTCATATTGTTCGTATAGATATTTTCTAACATGATTATTTACTTTTCTAACAATAATTGAATTTTTTTGAAATATGAATACATAAAAAAATGTCCACTCTTTTGTTTCCTATTTAAGTAACATGTGGTGGTACCATATACATTTTTACACCACATTCTAGTTATTCAAAATGGATACATTTTTTTTTAGTTGAAGGCTTAAAAATGCAACGTTTTAAAATACTAATTTATGTATATAATTATTAAAACTTCCTAAATTATAGACTTCTTTGTGATATATATAATTATATATAATAATTAATAATTAATAATTATATATAAACTATATATAGTTCAAATAATGTAATAATGTCGAGGCTGTTAAATTGAACATTGACTATAGTTTTGATATGCATAATTGTATAGTTTATTAAAATAATTCTGATAAATCATAACCTTTATATTACGATTATTAATTTATAGGTTGTAAGTGTTTAGACGAGGGGTTGGGAACCTTTTCTTAGAAAAGAGCCATTTTTTTAAAAAGTTATAAGACCATGATATCCAGAGCCTTTTGAATAACTTTTTTTTTTTTTTAGTCGTAAGTTTTCGTCACAAATGAGATATTTTGATTGTCTCATGATCAAGCCCGGATTAAGGGGGGTAGAGGGGGCCACGGCACCGGCCCACAACGGATACCAAACAATAGTGGGCCCCTGGCAGATAACAGATTTTTTTCGTTTTTTAACCCTTTTTTAAGTCGTATAAAAAAACATGTATAGAACGAGCAGTTTTCAAGAAAATTTAAATAATTTTATGGTTTTGTGTTCAGGTAGTGATGTTTTGGAGGTAATTACTACATATTATATAATTAAAGGGTTTGCTTCCCAAAAAGCAGGAAAAATTAATTAATTAAAAATTAATTTTTCTTCAATTCAAACTTAAAAATAATTTATAGTTCATTACAGGGGCGTATCTAAGTGGGGTTTTCGGGTCCGGACTCCCCCATTGAAATTTCTACATACTCTATGGTTTAATAGTAAATAGTATATAGTTAGTGTAATTTAATTTCCCATTATCTTCAATATACAAAATTTACAGATTATATAATATATCTATAAAGTATAAACCATGTTTAATTTATACTGATTTTTTTATATTATTTATTATTGTTAATTAAATAATGTATTTTTTTATAACATTTTACCACCAAATAACAATTGAATTCAAATTATAGTACTTACCTATTATAGTAAACCTTTGTGCAGAATACGTGTGATGTGTTTATAATTATTGTGACTATTACTATAGTTATTAACAGTAATTTGTTGGAATTGAATTAAACTATAATTATAATTAGAGAACAGATAAAATAAAAATCTTAGACCTCCCCCCCCCCAAAAAAAATCCTAGGTACGCCCTTGGTTCATTACCTACAACTCATGTTCCTGTTTTTCATTCGAGTGAATAAATAAAAATACAAGTGTCAAATTAAATTAAATATTTATTAAATAAATTTATTTAAAACCTACTGCATATAAAATAAGTATTAATAATAACAACAAAAATAGTTCTTATATTAAAATTGTGCCTTCAGTCTGAATCCTGTATAAAAAAAACAACAAATAAACATAATAGTAATAGTACCTATTAATTATTTTTTAAAAACTTTAAAAACAATTAAGATAGGTAACTTAATTTAACAAATAACTAAGTAGAAAACATAAGGTTGGTAAGTAGGTACCTAGTCGTCAAATAAAAAGTTCCAAATTTATTTTTTTTATTTTGGCAAATTTGTTGATTATTTCATCAATGGATACAATAATATTTTTATGCACATGCAGTAAAGACAAACCTGTAAGCCTATGCTGGCCTATTCTTGATCTTAACCATGTTTTCAATTTACAAAAATATATTTTTGGCCAATATTTGCAAGTTAAAGAATATGGAAACAAATATTGTCAGTTAGAATGATTATTATTTGGGTTAGGGGCTTCTAACACTATAAAATATATAAATATGCATACATTTGTGCTCAAAAAAATGACTAAATACCTATACACAACAAAAAGTACCAAATATTATGTTGTAAAAAAAAAAAAAAAATAGGTGAGTAAAATTATTTAGGAATTATATAGCTCTAATAAATACAAAAATATACAATAAGCATAAATGCACCAAAAAATGACTAACTAGTAAATATGCGGTAAAAAAAGTGTTACTTTAAATTATTTTATATTATCTGATAAATACTTCGGTTATGATTGTAAATGTCTATAACCGTAGCAATATCTATGTAAGATAATATCACTATTCGTTCCAAAACCAAAAATGTTATGATATATGAAGATAAACAAAAATTGATAGCTGTCATCAAATTGACATATTATTGAATTTATTATCATACTATAATGATAGACTAGTAATTTATATTCTTAATTATTTATACATTACATTTTTTAAATAAATCAATGTTTTATATTCAAAAAATATACGAGCCATGGGGGGGGGGCGAATGCTCCCTTCGGCCCTCCCCTCAAATACGACCTCGGTAATCAAAGGAGTAAGCAGTCATTAAATATTGTATCAATTTTACTTACTTGTTCCTCCATATATTGCTTATCACATGAGGTAAATAATTACACACAGTAATATTGTGTATTACTTTTATAAATATTTTATTTTATTACATTTGTTTGAACGTGTAAATAATGTCGTTGGTGGATGGTTGCGTATAACACATTTTAAATTTGTTTAAATTATGTCATTACTGTCCAGGATTGTAACCTTTACTATTTTTCAATGTATTTTAATTCTGATCCATATACTTGGTATTTTAATAAAGTACAATAAAATATTTTATTTTTGTAAATTTTAGAAATTCAAAACTTAACATGGGTACACAAGATTGGATAAGCTGCAAAAAAAGAATACAAATACATGATATAAGGTACATTAATTTTATTAGAAAAAATACTAGATACATTTATAATTTGAAAAAGATACAAATATTTGTAACATGAATCTTAGTTGTATGTTATGATATTAAAAATTTGTCAAATATTCATTCACACAGTTTTGTATTCTTATACTATATATAGTGCATCTTGTATAGTTATATTTATAAATTGTTTTGCAAGAAAAAAAAATTCTACGAGTTGTTGAGTCATGATATACTTAATTTTGAAAACAAAAAGGTAGAACCCTGGACTATTGCTTTTACTATTCCGTATTATATTTCAAAAAATTTAGTCTCGTATAGTCATATAAAAAAATAGGAATTAGAATAATTATAAACGTTTAGACCTTACACTCCTGCCATATTTCTTATATTTTTGGAATATTTATTGAGATTAGTGGGACATCTTATTGAGTATTCTCAGTTTCTTATCTTTCTACAATTCAAACGTCCGAAACCAACGATTTTATTTTAAGATTAATTGCAATAATATACATAAACGAGTGTAACTCGAATGAGATACAGCGAAATATGGTGAATGTTATTGCTGTATTGGTATTTTAAACTTGAAATCAATGCTCTCGAAAAGACAATTCTGAGTGGATTTTAGTTGAAATTGTTTGTAATTATTTTAATTTTTTCTCAATTATTCGGAAAAGTTTTGAAAAATGAAAAAATGACTAGACACAATTTCGTATTAGAAATTTCCTATGATCGTGATGGTCGAGGCAATATTTTTAGTTGCAATCGAATACACATAAATCCTACATCATGGTAAAACTAATAAATTTGTAGTTTAATTCAGAGTCTAAAATATTACCAATCTTCAATATGTATAAATAAAAATATAATTATAAAATAATAAAAAAATAAAATAGAAATTAGCTAATGGTTAATATAGTAAACGAATATATAAATAAATTATTATGAATTAACTAAAAATATAACTTTAATGTTTTACAATTTAAAATGTACGCATTGCTAGATTACTTATATTCCCGCCATGTCATTACACTAAATGTTATCATTAGTATGGTTACAATTAGTGATAAATGTACATGATTTGGTTAATATTAATATATAATATTCAACAAATAAAAATGATAGTGATCACTATTTGAAAATAATGTTTGTTATTTAATACTTGTAAATCAATAATTATAAATTATAAGAGGTTTTAAGAGGTATGCCTAATTTTGTATTTATTTGTAAGTATTTTTTGTACTGGGCCCAGTTGATTGGACCTGTAGTTAGTAAAGGTTGTTTTGGAACTTGATTTATTCCACCGTCAATGACTAGTTTAACCGGAGAATGGTCAGAGGAAAGGTCAGTGATATTAAATATAGAGAGAGACAAGTTGCTAGGGGTGGAGTGTATGAAGAAGTCTAGAATATTTGAATGCCTGTTGGTATAGGTACGCCAGTATGTCGAACCGATGGATGAAAGGTGTGACCAATTGCATTTGTTAAGGGTTTTGTGGAGAATTTTATCTCTTGGGAGCTTGAGCGACAACCTCATGATGGATGTTTTACGTTGAAATCGCCACCGACAGTAAAATTACTTCCTAGCGAGCTAAAAAGTTGGGAAAAATCTAGGCAGGTAATTTTTTGGTTGGGGGAGACAGTAGACTGAATCGAGTGTTAGCGGAACATGATTTACCACCATTTGGATAGCTACTGATTGGAGGTTGGTTTGTGAGTGGGTTAAGTGTAGGTTGTGTATTAGATTAGTGGCAATGATTGTAGCTGAGCTTGCGTGAGTCGAGCCATCTGGGTGATCAGTGTGGTAAATTGAATACCCAGGAAGTTTTGGCTTTAATGCTTTAGTTGGGTAGGTTTCTGTGATAAATGCTATGTGGATACTGTGTTTAATTAGGAAGTTATGAAGCTCGTGTTTGTGCTAGCTTAGGCCATTTGTATTCCAGAGGATAATATTTGTTGCGTTGTTAACCATTACGACGATTGAACATTTTGTTGATTAGTGATGTAAGAAAAGAAATGAGAGGGGCTAATAGTAATTTAAATTCGTTAAGGAAGGATGTGAGTTTAGGAGATTTTGAGTCTGCTGAATCTTGAGTCTCTGAATCTGGGGTGGTCTTTTTCCTGGAGGTTACATGGGTTTAGTTTGATTTGATGTTACTGTTGAGCTGATTTGGCACAGACTGGTGAACTGTGTCTCTTGAAGAGTTTGATGTTGAGAAGAAGTTTGGTTTGGAGTTTTGAGCCTAAGAAGTGGCTTTGGACGTGGTGCTTAGGTGAAAATATTGGAGGTCCTTATAAACTTGAAAACTTCTATAGTTGGCTGGTTGCAAAGAGTGCAGGTAACTTTATAATTTTATAAACGTAAAATTGTCGGGAAAAATCATAATTGGATGGTCGTAGTCTGTCATATATAACACGTATGTCTCTTTACGATGATAGTCTCTTTATCGTTTAATGATCAACCTTTTTAATTCAAACTCTCCCAAGTAATCAGTTAATAGCCGGGTATGAATTGTAGGATGATATGAAATCAGTACGTGTTCGTTCGTTAACCATAACATCACGCTTTTATTATTTTTTATTAATTGAACCATTTTTTTTTTTACAATCAATTTGTGTTTAAAAATATCCAAAATAAATAGTAAAATCAGTCAATATATATCCAAATTTGGAAAAAATATTTTTTCTATAGCTGGATTTTATTTTGTATAGTATATGAAACGAAGGTAGGTATTGATAGGCGGTTTATTGTTTTAAAACATTTAAAAACAGAAAAACATAAATTAGCAGTGAAACGCCAACAATATCGGATTAATAGTACCTTACAACAGTCATAGCAGTTAGTATTTACTTCAATGCATTAAAAAAAAAAGCACATTTAACCATGACTTGTGTGAAACATTGTTGTCCGCCAATATCTTATTAAATAAATTAAGCAAATCTAGTTTCAGAAATTTTCTAACAAAATATACAGGAAAATAAGTACTACGTGAGGCCACTCTGCGTAAAAGTTACGTTGATGAAGTCTATAAAAATACTATAAAAAAAATTCGTAATTACGTTTATGGGAAAAAAATATGGGTTAGCATTGATGAAGCGACTGATGTAACCGGTAGATATGTAGCAAATGTCATTTTAGGTACATCGGAAGAAAATAATTACGGTAAAAAATTTTTGTTACACTTAGAAGAGATAGAAAAAGCTAACGACTTTTAAATTATTTGATAAATCGATGAATATTCTGTGGCCGGAAGGAGTAAGATATGATGATGTGCTGTTTTTGTCAGACGCTGCACCCTGTATTGTTAAGTCCGGAGATGCAGTAAAAAATCTATATTCAAAAATTATTCGTGTGACATGTTTGGCTCATGCCTTTCATAGAGTGGCTAATACAATACGTATTAATAACCCTAAAATTAATAAAATCATTGCAAATGTAAAGAAAGTATTTCGTAAAGCTTCATCTCGTATTCAAGTTTTTAAAAATATGGTACTAACATTAACACTCCCACCTGAACCAATTTTAACGAGATAGGGTACATGGATTGAAGCTTCTCTCTATTATTGTGAACATTTTGAATTAATACAGTCAATTTTAAACTCTTTCGATGAAAATGATGCGGTTTCTATTAAAATGGCACAAAAATATATTGGACAAAAAAAAATATTAAAAATCAATTAGTGTTTATTAAATCAAATTTTGTATTTTTGCCTAACACAATAACGGGTCTAGAAAAGCAAGGACTATCACTTGCTAGCTATATTTTATTAGTAGAGGATGCAAGGTTAAGACTAACCCAAATACCCGGTGAACACGGAATGTCGATAAAAACAAAAATAGAAAATGTGTTAAATAAAAATAAAGGTTATCAATTGTTGATAAAAATTTCAATCATTTTGTCGGGAGATGATGAAAATTTTGACGGATTACCTGAAGATATGAACATTAACGATTTAATATATTTTAAGTATGCGCCGATCACTTCTGTGGACGTTGAACGTTCTTTCTCTATATATAAAAATATGGTGACCGATAATCGCTGTGCATTCAAATTTGAGAACATAAGAAAATGTCTTACCATACAGTGTAATAATTTTAACGGTAAAATTACTAAACAACTTATTAAAAATGATAATATCTATATTAATGTTTTTTTTTGTTTTATGTTACAGATGAACATGAAGATGATACAGATGGAGATGAACAACCCGTGTAAAAATTATTTTTATTCTATTAAGTACCTACCTAATTTTTAGATTTTTATTTTTATAATAATAATTAATATTATACCTTATGCGTTTTTTAAAAACAAAATAAAAAATTAGCTGCATATTTTAAAGCATACTTTGATGAGTTTGACTGCATATTTCGGTAACTTTAAGTGTAAGAAGTCCCGAACCCTAATTGTAATATAAAAAAAAACTTTGATGATGTTAGGAGTAACTAATATTTAATTATTAAATTGGTATAACAATAAATTTAATATACACTTTATTAAAATATACATTTTGGTTAGTAAAAAGTGTACCAAATTACTTTTTAATGCAAACAGGAAAAAATTGTACTCAATTAATGAACATTTTAAGTTTGTTTTGAATTTGTTTATATGTTTGATATGACTGTAGGTTTGACCCTATAAGTTTCAAGCTTGTGATATATTCGAGTGTATATGTGTGTAAATGAGTATATACGAGTATACATATATATGTAGTTGAGGATCATTTTATAATATAAATTCTATTAGTAATTTTCATGATGATAATTTTTTGATGAAATCGTTTTCCATTACAAAATAAATGTAATAGTAATTAAAAGGTTAATCCAGATTTTCAGCGGAGCAATATTAAAAATATCAAAATATTGAACACAATGTACAATAATAAATAATAATAAAAATAATAATAAATTTAGCATCAACGCAACAACAACAATAAAAATATAAAACCCAATGTTGGACGGGCCGAAGGCTTTTGCGTTCGAGTGGGTGTCTCCGTAATTAAGCAATTATGTATAATAATAATGAATGAGGATTTAACGAGACAAAGGACGAGAGCGCACGGGGTCGACGGCGGAGCTCTCTCTGCCGGCGTTATCCGCTTGTCGCTGTTGCCGTCGGTGCCGACGAATGGCTGTGTGGCGTCGTCAGCTTTTGGAATTCACGCCACAGTAGTAGTAGTAGTCGCGCATCGGCCGAGTAACCGACGACGATCCCGGGAATACCCCACTCTTCCGTCCGTTGTCCCCGCAACAAGTGTTCACCGATATTAAACGCGTATACGCGCGCATTGGCGGTCCTGTCCAAGGGTCAAGGTTCACCGTAAGTCCCGAAATGTGTTGAGTTATAAATTTCCGAATTTTTTTTATTGAAAAATTTGCCGTTATAACGTCACATAATATAATATAATATACATTGTTAATATATTGCAACATTTTCTGGTTTGGTTATTGAATTAAATTCAAAATAAGGACTGTAGCGTTAGGAGAAAGAAAAAAAGAATTCTATTATATTGCCCACCTATATAATGTATGTTTATTGATAAAAATTTTTAAATATTTTAATAATTGTGTTAATATTCTGGCATTGTCATTTATTGCATCTCATATTCGGTACCTATAAATAATTATAATGATGAAGTGATATAATTTTGATTATTCAATTATTTTTGTTGATATATACTTATATATATATCGTAAAATATAATATATTTGTTAACGATAAATAATTTAACAATTATAAATTTAAGTTTTTTTTTTTTTGTAAAAGCTTTGAATAAAATAGGTCTAAATCGAGTTTTATATAGTTTAAATTATATAACTATATTATGGTAAAATTAATCAATTATTCTAATTTAAAATGTTTAAAACTACAAATATTCTAATATAAAACAATTTAATAGGTACTATAGTAACTGGTAATTTAAGAAATAAATGTATTGTAGTTTAAACATTTTCAAATGTTGAAGAAATATTTTTTTTTAATAATGTTCAAGATTTGTTTATGTTTACATATCACTAACTATATAGTAATATTTATACTATGTGGCTTACTAATTTATCATATATTGAATGTTTAAGTTTTTATGAAATAAAAAAAATTAATTTATAATACTTGTATATTTAAAACTAAAAATAGCGAAGCTAATTAAAATAATAATAATAATATGAGTAATATTCTAAAATGAAGTGTTAAAAATACTAAATTATTTTATTTTTAACCGTTTTTTTTTTTTTATAACTCGATGTCTATACATCACTGTTAATTATATTAACTTTAAAACACTTTAGTATTATATTGTGTTTTTAAATAGATAAAATAAAAATATCTTAACATTATTAAAACAATGAAGTCCTAAAGTAATATCGAATTTTTGTTTTCTATGTTTTTGTAAATTTTCCGATTTTATGAAAATATTACAGATTTATAACTTAAAGCGCATATTTAATGTTTTTAGTTGAAATTATTTACTTATATTTTAATTTCGTAAACGAAAATTTGTTTTACTTACGATTACAATAATTTGTAACCGTGAAGTTGATAAATATTGACTTTGCAAAATTAAATCTATATGGTCAAATATTTACACATGATGTGATAGCTTAATTTTATCCTGAAATATTCGCCTGAAATATAATTATAAAAAACGACAATAATATTTTTTGATAAATTTTGAAATAAATGTTATTTGTAAACGATTGGGGTAAGGTATTTTCATAATATGAATTCACATACTCCTATTATATTATTTATTTCCATTTTTATTTATTAATTTTATTTAAATTTAATAGCATATCACTATACTTATAACGTCGCATTAGTAGTAACTACAAGCTATTCGATGTATACATAAATGATATAATTATAAATAATTATTGTACTAAAATGTTGTTCCATTTTATTTATTAGATACTTAAATAATTTACTAATTAGCTTAGTGTATTTAATTATTATTACAGTTGCGACTTGATAAATATTCCTGTACATACAATTATAAATAGTACTTATATACTAACATCAGTTTTATTAAAAAATTATAAATTACCTATGGCAAAACAATTATGGTAATAAATTGATTTTACTAAATGTAGAGTCTAAATTAGTATTAAAGTAGAACTATTAAAATATTATGTAATATTGATTATCTTACAAATTAATCATTTTTAATATTTAATTATTATAGCCTTAGGTGTTTATTTAAATTTATATAATTTTCTTGTTTTATAGGACGTACATGTAGATTTATGATTTTTGAACTTAAATATCCTATATTAAATAAAAATGTACGTGTATAGTCAAGGGTGTAAATTGGAGTTTGCATGGGCTCATATTGAAAATTTATAAAAAATTACGGTAATACGGTAATACAATTACGGTAAATATTAATTAATTGCAATGTATTATTGTTTTAAATCTGAATACAAGATCGAATAATTATATTTGAAAAACATATATTAAAATTTATTTTAATCTTTTAATAGTCTTAGTAGTCTCTAATTTAATAAAACCTTATATTTTTTTAAAATAAACTCCGTAGTATTATCAAAAAACGTAATTAGAATTAAAAATTTAATTCTGGTTTTATGGTGCTTTTTACTACTTATAAGAGTACTTTCCGAAAACATAATGTTTTATTGTAAAACCAAATACTAATAATAATAACTTATATGTATGTATACTTATTTGATATAAGTAGCTTTAGCTTTTAAACCAGAATTTAATAGTATTTATAGAGTCAAAAACTGACTTTTATATTACATTTTCTCTTTGCTCATTTTGGTCCAAATTAGTTCTTATTATATTTTAAGTATTAAATTATAAATAAATCATTTTATTTAAAAAATTATTCAGAGGAAAAAATGTTTTAGTTTGTTACTGTTTAAAAGCATATTTTCCCAAGTTTAATTGTTTTTAAAAAATAGTGAGTAGAATTTTTAACAACAATATGTTGATTTTATTAATATGATTTGTTCAATTTAATATTGAAATGTCAAGTTTTCATACATAAAATTAATTTTTTTAGTTATAAAGCCATTTTAATTAGTAATAAGTAAAGTCCGGATTTTATGTATAAATTTTTGTTGAATATGCACATTTTTATTTTTTTAAACATTTTAACTTAAATATGCAAAATATGCAAAAAAAAATTATCCTTAGGAATATGTATGGTGTGAGATGTCGACATTTGTAATCAAAATAATTCTAGGTTAATTGTTGAAGAATATGCACTTTCATAAAAATCCAGACCCTAGGATTATTACTCATTAATAATTATTACTTATTATTATTATTATTAATATTATTATTTATTTATTACTAATAAATAATAACGAATATTTATAGTTTAATCTTTATAGTATATAATATAAATATGTCGTGTTTCCTAAATAATAAATTAATTAAAACAACTTTAAAGTGTATTATAAAATATTGTTATACTCAATTATTGTCGTATTCTAGGTAAAGTAAGAGAATCTAAAAGGGTTTGGAACTGTCAAGTATTTATATTCATATTTAATACAGAAAGTTGTAATGAATTGTTTATAAGTATTTTGGTTTGAAATCTTTGAGTCAATTAAACGTCAATTATATTTATACGATATTATTATATATTATATGTATTATACGTATATTATATAATAACTTTGACTGTTCTAAACTTTCGTCTGAAGTTAATTTTTGCCAGTGTTGTAGTTGAGTTTTTTTTCTAGAGGATATATCTATTTACTAATTACTTTTGTCACAACATTTTCAAATTTCTAGCTATAACTTTGTTCAATCAAGATAAATAAAATATTTATTTCATTTATACTTCTAAGAATTTTGAATATTTATAAAAGATAAAAATTACATTATAAATAAAATTATTTAGTAGGTACTTAAAGTATTTATAGAAAGAAGGTCGAGGAAAGGTGGATTTCACAGCCTCCATTGTAAATATGCCACTGACTATAGCATAGCCTTAAAAAGTTCTATTCTGAGTTAGAATTATGTTAATATGTACAAGTAAATAAAATAATCCATATACATTATATAATATATTGTAGAAAAAATGTGTTTCTAAATTTATTCGTATACTTTTTTTTATTATAATTTTTATAAATATAAATACGATACTCATTAATTTTCTCAAATTAATTTTCAAGTCTACTGAAAATTACTAAAAAAGTTTTATCATTCATGTTTCATTAATTTAACCTAATTGTCTTTTGTTTTTTTTACACTAAACTTTGTGGTTTTTATGTTTCATTTCCGAATCCCTTTTTGTTGACTGAAAAGAATAGCGTATAATTATTTTAACAGTGACATTAATCCTTAGATAACTTAGTTTGTGGATTTTTTTAAAGAAAAAAGAAAAAGCATGATCGATTCTTTTTTAGTTATCCCCCTCCATCAATACTATGAATGAATGTAAGGAAAAGAAAGATAAACTATATAAATTATAAAAATTAAAATTATTAAGAACCTGGTGACAAATTTTATAAGAGAGCCAGAGATTAATTTTTTCATTTTTACCAGTTTTTTTTATTTGTTCAATCTTTACTAAGTTAACAATGTTTATGTTCAATTATTTGCATAAATGTGCTCTAGTTATTTGTTACTTTGCTAAACAAAACAATCCATAAATTGTATTTCTAGATTAGCAAAAAATTGTTCGAACACGATATAATATGTAAAACATTGAATTTAAATATCAACATTATAACGATATTTTTGTATTTTTCTTTATGAAATTGTTAAGAAATTTTCAATTAAATGTCTAAAAAAACAAGTGAAAAACTTGTATATATTTAGAAAAGTATTCATTACATCATACATTGTTACAATTATTTCTATTGTATAAAACTATATTTTTACTTGTTATTACACAAATAAAGTGTATAAAAAGTAATACAAATAGTACTTAAAAACAAAAAACGTATTTGAAATAAAAAAAAAATTAGGATATAAATAAAATCTCAAAATACCAAAACTATAGTATATCTAATAAATATTTTAAGTTTTTTAAAAGAATAAAGTAAAATAGAATAAATTATTATTGATTTTAATTTGTTTTTATATGTAAAAATATAGTAAAATAACTAATTTTTAAAAAGTTTAAATAATTAAAATATTATTAACATTTTATGTTTTACACTACTACCACAAAAAATAAATATTTTTAATTTATACTCTATCCAGAAATGTTTAATATTCTATGTTTAATATTCTAAATGTATATTTAAAATTTTTTTATATTTTACACTTTATTTTATTATTTTACTATACAAGTTCCATTTTACCACAATATTTATATGAATAAATATATATATTATTATTTA